GACTGACAGCTCAAAACGGACTCTCTTATTATTCCGTTTCATGATTATTTGTGGCATGATCATCGCGTTCTTGAAAATGTTGGACCTCTACTTTTTTTTTCTTTTTGTAAGAACACATCTAACAATTAACATTTTTTATCCTTAGAAGATTTTGGACCGAGGATCGTACATTGAACATGGTGCATATAATCTGTTAGCATTGTTAGTACTCACAATGCATATTCTGTAAGTTGAGAATATATGCCTGTCAGAGATTTGTNTTTGTATAAATATAAAGGTGTGATGGTTCTTGTTTATACCAGATCCTAAAGTATTATCTTAACCCTTTTTAATTCGCACCACTAATTGGTGAATGATAGTACCAGATGCTGCTGCTACTCTATAGCATGAGCGATATGGGAGTGCATTCTCTTCTACTTTATCTAGTCAGGGAGCAATACTACTAGAATATATGCTTTCACATTTATTTCTTTCACATGTTATATTATACCATTCATTGTGTTTGTTAGATGTTTTGCTAAATGATAGTAACCAATGACCTAATGAAACGATTCTTTGGTCAAGATTCTTTGCTGACGTGGCTTGTTGCTAGAGCTCTTTGTTTTGCTGACGTGTATGGTCTGAGAGACCTCAAACCGCTGCTATTAGTTAGTATATAATAATAATTATAGTTCAATTAATCAATATTTGGGATCCGAAGAATTTAATCTAAAAAAAATTGTACATTACACAAGCAGCCGAAAAAACCAGTTAGTATTCAACATTAATTTCTAAATTTGATCAATATTTAGGAACATAGTTAACTATACTACATTTTGATCTGCGCCCAAACGCGGAATAAACAGTTAGGTTGACTAATCGATTTTAAAATATATTTAAAAAAAATTAAACGTGTCTTACGAATCATATAATTTTTAATATCTACAAATTTACAAAAAAGGATATATACTATGCATAAATATATAATAAAATTGAAACTTTTTATCAAGCATATGTTAATGGTTTTGATATTTTAATGCGTAAAAATGATCAAAACATACACGTATGGTATTTATTTCAATATCTTTTAAGTGTAAGTATCTCACTATATCTTAATTAACCTTTATAAAAATGATTAAAACTTTAAGCTTTTGAATTTTTGTTTACTTAAATTTATTTTGTGTTTTGCTTATATTTTACTTATGTTTTGCTTAAAAAACAAATTATTTCAATTTTATTTAATTTAGAATAACTGTTTAAGTTGAAGTAAAAAAAAATACATGATGTATATGTTTTGTCACTAAACAAATATAAATCATGATTTGTTTATATGATTTAAGATCAACTAATGTTTTGCTTACATTACATA